TCTTCAATAACATCTTAGATCAGAACACTTGCCAGTGGCAGCCAGGCATCACCCAGTTCTTCCGGTCTCATGGCAAAGGAGGCAGTTGTTTCAAGGCAATCAGCTACACATTCCACTTCTTCCACTTAATTCTAACTCTCCAGCTTCATTTCTATCACCACAGCTATGTTTTCTAACTATAAATCTTTCCTCCGTGTTGAAACGCTTGCATTTCAATCACCAGTTATGATTGACGCATCTTGACTGCTAATTTGGTCAATTTCACAAGTGGGTAGAAATCTTCCATGTCTTCCTCATCGCATTAGCGGTTGATGTGACCCTCATTGATCTGAGTCTTTTATTAATAGGATGCCACACAGCAGAGATTGTAAGGATGACACCGATCACAAAGTTTCTTTCTGTGGTACGGCTAGGCGTTGGCATTGAACTATAAAACAACACTAAAAATTCTAAACTCGCCTCCTTCTTCACTTGTTCTGGGCAATAGAAACCACTTTTGCCAGTTGTTTTTCTTATATAAATGCTCCTTGGATTGTTATAAACCTTTGATCAATTTCCAGACTCTTTACAAAGCTGATTTTGACAAGTTTTACCTGAGTTCTCATTGTTGCTGTTGTTTTTCTTGTTATGTGCCATCAAGTCACTTGCGACTCATCGTGATCCTATGTACAACAGCCTTAAGCCCTGCTCTATCCTATGCCAATCTTATTGTCTTCGGCACACCTATCTCCATTACCCCAGTCACTGAGTCAATCCATCTCATCGAGGGTCTTCCTCTCTTGCACTGTCCTTCCACCCTCCCAAGCATGACATCCCTCTCTAAGGACTGGCCCCTCTTTGCAGCATGCTCAATGTATGTCAGACAAAGTTTCAGAATCTTTGCCTCCAAAAAGCAGCCTGGTTTCACCCTCTCTAGGAAGAACCTGTTTGTTCTCCTAGCAGTTCATGGTATATTCAATACTCTTCTGCAACCCCGCAGTTCAAAGGCATCAATTCTCCTTTTATCATCCCTAGTCATTGTCCAGCTCTCTGATGCATAACAAGTAATTGCAAAGACTATGACCTAGATCAGGTGCATCTTAGTCTCAAGACTGACATCATTGCTCTTCAGTACTCTGGAGAAGTCCCTGACAGCAATTCATCTTTTTATTTCCTGGCTGCTGGTACCAAGAGTGTTGATTATGGAGCTGAGCAAACTGAAGCTGTTAACAATTTCAATCTCTTCACCATCTATCATGATGCTGCCAATTGGCCCAGTGATGAGCATCTTTGTTTTCTTGATGTTGAGCTTCAATCCATATTGAAGCTGCAGTCCTTGACCTTCTGCAGCAAGTGCTTCAGGTTCTCCTCAGTTTCAGCAAGCAGGGTTGTGTCATCTGCATAACGCAGAGTGTTGATGAGTCTTCCTCCAAACCTGATGCCACATTCCTGCTCATAGAGGAGGAATCCAGCCTCCTGGATTATCTGCTCTGCATATAGATTGAAAAGGTATGGAGACAGGACACATCCCTGACATACACCCTTCCCAATTTTGAACCATGTAGTGTCTCCTTGCTCTGTTCTGATGACTGCGTCCTGGTCCAAATATAGGTTTCACATAAGCACAATCAAGTGTTCTGGGATTCCCATTTTTCTCAGAGTCAGCCACAGCTTGTGTGTTCTCATTGCTTTTGTGAATTATCAGAAGTCTCTACTCTGGCATTCTAGGAATCCTTCTCCCTGTGACTCGACAGTTTCTATAAAAATCAGAACTTAGACATAGTCTAAATCTATTTCAACTGTAGGCAAGCCCATGTGTATTATAGCCACCTGCACACAGGGATTTCTTGGCTGTAATCTTTACGGAAGCAGTGTGCCAGTTCTTTCTTTCGTGGTGTCACTTTCAATTAGTAGTTGAGTGCAAAGCCTTTGCAGCATCTTAGAAACTCTTCATCCCCACTAGCCACATTTCTGATGATAAATAAAGGACCAGAGGGGGCTAGTGGTGACTGTGTGGACAGTGCACATACACAACATTTCCATCATTGCCAAATGTGTCTAAGAAGTAAGTGGCTAGAGCCATGTTTTAGAATTCTAGAGACCTTGTTCATTTTTCCTCGTTCTTTTGTCCTTCCAGATCTGTTCCTCAGAGCAACCACACTGGGGTGGATTCCCTGTGTGATTTCTCACCTTTGACTCGGAAACTGGACAGAATTGTTATCTATGAGGAGTTTCTACGGCTAACTCAGAATGGCACCCACCTACGGAACTTCACTCTGGACAGAAACAGTGTCCTCGTGGATGGTGAGCCTTCCTGATGACTGGGGCTGAGGAGAGTGGAGCTGGGCTCCTACACTTGGGTCCTCCCTGGGAATCTGGAGGCCTAGGATAAGCCAGAGTGGAAGCAGGAGTGGCATCCACTTCTGTAAATAGCTCGCCTCCAGAAACCCTATGAACCTGGAGAAAGGATGAAAGTCACGCACACAAGTGTCGAGAACTTCTGTTCGTAGGGTCACTATGAGTCACCTGTGACTCGATGGCACCTAACAACAACAACAGGATAAGCCAGGACCGGACTTGCTGAGACCAGCAAGAGGCAGCATGATCCCCCATGCTCTCTCAACCAGTGGAGATATGGAGTCCTTGGAGAGGAGAAACGGATTGCACTCAACTACAAACCAAAAGTCAGGCCATGGAATACTCCACAGAATGCTGCAGCAATGATTCTGTAATTACTACCTAACATGCGAGGGGCTGGAGAGCATTATGCTGAGTGAACTAACTCAGTCTCATAAGACAAATACTGTATAAGACCATTATTGTCGAACGAGTACGAGGCTTAATCATAGAGTCACACGATTTGACAGGTGGAAGAAGGGCCTGGGTAAAGGACAGGGAAAAGATCCAGTGTGCAAAACAATGTGTATGAACTTTATGAACTCTGTATGTAAACCAGTATAAAACTTAAAAAAAAAAGTCAGGCAATTCAACTTCACCCAGCAGCAGCATGACAGAAGAAAAGAGTGGAGCATCCACTTGAGGGGGGTAGGAGGGAAAAATTTGTATGTACTATTAGCCAGCTGGACTCACTTTACCATAATCAAGAGAAAGTCAAACATAGGCCTTCTTCTCTCTATCAAACCTAATCAAGGTGTTGACCTTCTTCTCTCTATCAGGCCTAATCAAGGTGTTGACCTTGGCCACAATGTTATAGTGCTTCTTCATGGCTAGTTTGATCTGGTGCTTGTTGGCCTTGACATCCACAATGAACACCAGTGTGTTGTTAGCTTCTATCTTCTCCATGGCTGACTCAGTGGTCAGGGGGAACTTGATGATGGCAGAGTGGTCAAGCTTGTTTCTCCTGAGAGTGCTGTTCTGGGGAGTATTTGGGCTGCCTATGGAGTCTCGGCATCTTAGACAACCAGAAAGTGACTGGCATGCAGATCTTTGTGTGTGTGTGTCACTGTGGATGCCCTTCAGGACGCCTTCTTGGCCTTTAACACTTGCTTTGGCTTCAGTTTTAGGATGGGCAGGGGATTCCTTCCTTCTTTGTTTTCGGCACCATCTTTATAGAAAAGTCTAGAAGTCAACTTTTGTGCAATTTCAGCCACCATAAACCTCTCGAGTGGAGTTAAATATATGGGGTTACTAACATCTGGAATCAACTTGATGATAACATGTTTGATTTTTTTTAACTTTTTTTTTTTCATTTTCATTTATTTTTTTTATGTGTGTACCGTGAAATTGGATCTGACTGGTACAGGAGGCAATTGTTCCTCCTTCTTCAGCAGAGCATTAGGTGGATTTGAACCGCACACCTCTGGGATTGCAGTGCAGCTTCCTGCCACTAGGCCACGAGAGCTTGCCTGATTTTTTTTTAATAGTGTGACATTGGAGACTGTGTCTCCCCAAGTCCACTCCGGGATTTCAGTCCCTTCCCCTCTCTGGGCCCTTGTTTCCTTATTTCTATAGCGCAGGCCTCTTGGTGAGACGTTCAGTGAGGCCTTCCATCTCCAAACTGTGCCTGACTCAGCCATGAAAGATGTTAAGAGATGACTCTATGCTCCCTCTCTCCTGCCTTCACAGTGGCCAACTTTGCACATCTATAGTTATTCATTCAAACACAATGATTACTGTGTCTGCCATGTATCAGGATTATAGCAGATCGAAGCAGAAATAAACAAACCAGAGAGCAAGAAGTCATGCTGTCTGCTTGACTTAACATTCTACTGAAAATATACCATTAAGCAACTGCTTCAAAGATATTAATAATTGTTACATTTGGATCATAGTTCATTATACACTTTTTCAATATATTTGAAATTTTTTCTTCTAAAATAGCAAAACACACACAGACACTCTTCATTTCTTTCTTTTTTTTTTTTCTTTTCTTTTTAGGATATTCTACCAACATACATGAAGCCTTGACTAAGAATACTGGTAAGTCTCAAAGGGGAGGCTCTGGTTGGTAAAAATGGTTACTGGATTCAACTGCTAACTGAAGGTTAGTGGTTCAAGTCCACCCACCAGCTATCAGAAGGAAATCCCAGCCGCCTGTGGCCAAAATTTCAAACACTTAAAACCTTACTTTGCAACATATGGGATAACTATGAATTAAAAATGATTTGCTAAAAAATGGGGGTTTTGTTTAGGGGTTGTTTTCTTTTGAGGGGAGGGTAAAGTCTGAAATGACCCTCTATCCCAAAGTGAGAAGGAGACATCCCAATGCTATGCTTTCCAAGAAGTGCTGTGCACACAAGGTCTCTGAAAAGAATGAATGTTGACTAACCCATGAGACGAACAGATGAGGTACAGTGAATGGAGTCCCAACCGGCTGGCAGAGCCACTACTTCAGGACATCAGAGCCATGAAGCAATTGAACCACGTAGCTCCCTTCTCCGGGTCCACGCCCATCCTCAGGGTACCCAGGGTCTGGCCCTGGTTGTAGGGGGATAATAAGAGATGGCTTACCTCAGCCCTTGTCTCTGCAGAACTCCCCTTCTGGGCCATCATCCTCATCTGTTTGGCGGGACTCCTAACCCTCATCACTTGCCTGATCTGCTGTTTCTTGGTAAGTGAAGGAGGTCACTAGCTTTCTCATTATTGCTTTGTAGACTTTTTTTCTTTAGGTTTTTTTAAAAATTAATTTTAATGAGCATTTACATTTTTATTGCATTTTTCTCCCAGCCAGCTGACTCTTCTCTTTGAAAAGTAAAAGAAAAATGCTTTCATTGTTATACAATCTCCTGCCCCCGCCCCCACTCTCCACTATGCAACCTTCATTCTGGACTCTGTCATGACCGTAATACCCAATCATATGTCGTTTTTAAACAGTTCTCTCCCTCATCTGTTTCAATGCAGTATACATATGTAGACATTTTTATACATTCTAAATGTAAATCCTTGGATGTATGTGTGTGCTTTTATTTATTGACAGCGTTAGTCATTTGTCAACAACAATCAGAAAGATGTAAATTAAAGCTACAGTTAGATAGGATATCATGCATGGAAAGACAGAGGGATGGCAAAAGAGAAGAGGATCCTTAACCAGGTGGATTGACACTGTGACAGCAGCAATGGGCTCAGGTGTGTCAGAGATAGTGAGAGGATGGCACAGGATAGCACAGGATTCAAATCAGTTGTTCACAGGGTCTCTATGAGTCAT